GGAGGGAGCTCTCTCTCTCTCTCTCTCTCTCTCTCTCTCTCTCTCTCTCACACACACACACACACACACACACACACACACACACGAATGATATTTTAGTGTATTATGTATGACAGTTACTAGTAGACTAAATAGAGTCTGTTGAAAGAGAAAGTACAGTTATATGAAACTTAGTTAAGATTATCCTTTCCAGATGAGACTCAATTCTTTGGTTTGTAAATGTTTATTGAAAGCACAAATGTTTTTCCTTTTTGAAGGATTGCAGAAAAGGACAAGCAGCTAAAGCAGACTGAAGATTCTTTAGCAAGTGAACACGACCACTTAGCAAACAAAGAGGAGGAGCTTAAGGTACAGTGATTCCTACAGCTTGCTGCTTCAGTATTTGATAGGACTCAGAGTTGAAGATTATAGTCAGCATGTGTTCCATGAAGGGTGACATACTTTGGAACTCACCAAAAGGTTTTTACTCAGAGGATGCATTTCGTAACAATTTCAGAAATTTGGCAAGTAATAGAAATAGATGATGTTTCTTTTTGATTTAGGAAATTTGTAATTTGAGACCTTTAACTAACTCTTAAAGTAGAACAGATATGTTGTAAAGTAAATTTTATGAAATACTTTTAATGCCATGTACACTTTTTATTGCTCTAGGATATACAGAATATGAATTTCTTATTAAAAGCTGAAGTGCAGAAATTGCAGGCCCTGGCTAATGAACAGGTACATGATTTTTGTCTATTTTCCTCTGAAGAATTTTGATTTGCCTTTTCTTACTTAACTATTCCTATTGGAACTATGAATTGGATACAATGAATTAATTATTTCTGAGATAGAGGAGATTGTTCAGACAGTCTTAATCTGCTGCTCGTTTCATCCCTTTTCTTCTAATGTACAAAAGGCAAACTTTTTAATCAGGGAAAATTTGCCTCTGAGAAGTAAAAAATAATGGACAATAGAACACCGAAGTATGTAGTTTTGTTATAGCTTTAATCCAAATGTATGGAAATACAAGTTTTATATGGATAAGTGACTAGTTCTATTGTTTCCTAAGAAGTGATGAGACTTTGGTTTTATTCTGACTACAGGCTGCTGCAGTCCATGCGGTAGAAAAGGCGCAGAAAAGGTGAGCACTGTGTCCTGTGCAGACACTGACTGGCGCATTCTCTGTCATGGGCAGTGCTGCTTCCAACTGAGGCGTCTTACATAGAGAGCCCCTGAAAACCTTGAATGAACGAGTTTTAATTGATACGCTTCTTCTCATAGTATTCAGGTCAAGGATGATAAAATAAGATTGCTTGAAGAGCAGCTGCAGCATGAAATTGCAAGCAAAATGGAAGAATTTAAGGTGTGTGATTAATCTTGTGTACTCAGCTTTCTCAGAATAACTTCATATAAGTTTAGTTATAATGACTCTAAAAATGCTATTTTTTAATACAGTCATTTGGAAACATTGTTTCCTTAATTTATTTGGTAGCTTATGTGAATAGTGAATTTTTAATAGGCTTTTTGCCTGGATGTATTTTATCGTATCTTAAATCAAATGTTTGACATTTATTCCGCCCCCAGCATGCCTTGGCATCTTGAAATGAGTATTTCACATTGTGCGGGTTTTGCTGTCTGCACTGATGCTGCAGTGCTAATCTCCGTTGAGCCCTGGATTTTATGTCTGCATGGAACTGCAGCATTGCTCTGAACACCTGAAGCAGCAGTATGGGGTTGCTTGTTCTGAAGCTCGATTCATACAGTTACTGCCTTTCCCCCTCTCAAAAAGTAAACTGGGTTTCGTTTTTCCAGATTCTGAACGACCAGAACAAAGCATTACAGCTGGAAGTTCAGAAGCTGCAGATCGTCATTTCTCAGCAGGTGAGGCTTTTCATGCAGTAGTGTGGGACAGCCAGAGAGTAAGAAGGTCTAGTGAGAAACATCTGATTGAGAAAGCATGCTTAAAGTTAGATGTGTCTCTTAAATGCACCCTGCTCATTTTGTGCCTACCAGGTTTCAAAATTAAAGTTTTGTGTCTCATCTGAGATGAAGCAAATGTCAATCTTTTCATAAATATTTTGCAAAAAAAGGAAAGGAAAAGAAATCAGTTTTTGGAGCCTTAACCTTTTCAGGCATAACTTAACAGGCATTATAGTTTCTCAAAAGGAGAGTGAGTTTGCAACTTATGAGTACCTTGAAATTGCATAACGTTTCTGAGACCTTTTACTCAGTCTTTCACACCAAAGTTATACTGATTTCTTAGATTTGAATGGCAAAGCTTAAATATATTGTTTAGTCTCATAATTTGCATATAGGTCACATCTATCTAAATCGTTCCATTTTAAAAATATGTGTGTGTGT